AATTTTGCATACAGCATAATCAAATTGCAGGTAAATAAAAATGTACTTAAAAGGTAAACTGCAGTAAAGTAAAATGCTGTAGATAAACTGTAAAAGCGTACCTGGGCATCTGCTACTGTCGTGTTATTAATGTTGCGAGCATAGCATGATTTGCAGGAGATTTAAATAAACTTGCAAGTAAACTAAACAAGACAAGAAAACTCAGCACAAAAGTCAGAAAAACGAGTCATATAAATCACAAGCAAACGAAACACTTAGCCACATATGAAAGATCATGACTGGGTATAAGACCTTGGTGAAAGTGGGGGCTCAGAGCTGGGTTGTGTGCTTCCCGATGTTGAACAGGAGTTACTGGCCCTACAATCTACAGAAGGCAGTCCGTAACCTCGATCCAAATGACTGCCTTAACATCAGAATATGTATTGAGGACCTGAAGACACTCATCAATTGAGCTGTCCTGCGAAGAAGAAGAAGACCAAGATTTACATGTTTCAACAAGTGCATCAATAGTGCTTTTAATGAAAGCAACCCTTTGTTCTTCTTTTCTACCCTGGGACGCTTGAGCACGCTCGTGGATTGAACATCTGTGTGAACATGGCTAGGACGGTCTCCTGAATCACCTATCTGCACGCTATCCATCTCTTGGGCTGAGCTGCTCAACCCTATATCATTTGGGGTGAACGCATGAGTTCCTGTAGCGACAACCCCAGTGAACATTTCATCTAGTTTTTCCTCCATTACTGGATCAATGCCAACAAATTTAAATTTTTTGGCTGACGGCACTGCCTGATATAGATAACAAATGTGCATTAATAAAATAGTGTCAGGTCAATGCGAAATTAGATTAAGCATAAAATAAAAAGAGTAAATTATGCACCTGTAGTTTTTCAGCTCACCATTTTTCTGGTGCATCTATTGTGCGCTTAACTGGATCCCAGCCCATTCCCGTTGATCCCTTTTCAGTTCTTTCCATAGTTTCCAATCATTCTTTAACTGGTCTCATTTATTCTCGTAATCTCTTTGATCGTAATCTCTTTCAGTCATTTCTTTGAATTTAACCAAGATATTTCGCTACCCTTTTTTGTTAGAAAATGTGGTGGGTCTATTTCCCACCTCAACCTCCCTTATACATAAATCACAAAAAGATCATAATAACTTCTCTATCCCACATGGCTGATGTTCCAGCCTTTCTAGCTTTACTCATTTAGTTCTGTCAGCTTAATGGATAAACACAAAATGTTTCTTTTCATGACAAATAAATCATAAAACAAAAGAACAATTTCTATATCAACCCTCTAAAAAATCAAAAAACAAAAGATAGATTACTGACATCTTCATCTTTGTGACGCCGTAAAGATTAGACATTGGAAACAAATCATGACAAATATTACTAAAAAATAGGATAAACTTTAGAAAGAAAAAAAGAACTTTTGTAAAGATTGTCAAACTGTACATTCATATAAAAGAGGAACAACCACATAGCACTCTTTCATATAAAAAAAACTATAAAATGAATATCTAAGAATTATTGAGTTGAGATTTATTTACTTAGTGGAAGAAAAAATATCATATAGTAAAGAAGATTTTTCCTCACAAATGATATTTCATTTAGGAGCATTTGCATGCATCCCACCCAACTCCTTTGTATTTACATATATAATACCTGAATTTTATCTTTTATATTAATATCACCTGACTTTTTCATACCATATCAAAAATATCATTATTTTAGCTTTCAAAAAGTGAATACAACTTTGAATGCAAAAGTAAAATGGCATATAAATGTCAAAATTAAAATGAAATAAGAGCAACTAATATGAAGTAAGGAGAGTAGAATAAGGGGGAGTAAAGAAACAATAAAGCTCAGCTAAATCCAAACTCAAAAAGCAACTCCAACCAAATTCAAAAGAAAAATCATTTAAGAAAACATCCTACAAATAAAGGGTTGAAACAAAGTTTCCATTTAGATTTATTTGCAAAGGAAAATTTCATGAAAAATTTATCAAGAATGACAAAGAAACCAAACAAGTTGATAATGAAAAAAAAAAAGACCTGTTGATAACACACTTGAAAACCAAAATTCGAATATTTCACCATTGCACTTTTCCTCAACCCAGTAGATAGCAGCCCTAAAGAATATCAAAAATATAGTTCAATCATGCTGAGTCTACTTTAATATTCATTAGACAACACCTCATCTTTTTACAAGCTTTGCTTAAGCAACCCTTCATTTTTTAAATGGCCTGGGAGACTTCTCTAAGAAAATATCAGATCTAGTGATTACAAAATATCGATGATTGTTCCTTTAGGCAAAACCG